TTACAGAAAATGGTTCATTGTGTTGCACTATTTACTTAGCACCAGTTCCTGGTCTCTGCCAAGCATTCTCGGCTGGTTGTGGAATATATTCTGTAATGTCCCCAGGGTGTCGCACAAGTTTCTTATCGGAGTCTTTTATTATTTTAAAGAATATTTTGCCGTCGTTGGTCCAGTATGAGTCTATCATTCTTGCTTTCCTAGATCGAGCTAGGTCAGACACAATTTTTTGTCTCTGTCTGGTTAAGTCCTCAGATATGAATACATTGTAACTATCCGATCTCTGTTTTTTTAGGGCCTTCTTAGACTTGTAGATGTTGTTTTTTATCCTCCAGTTCCTAAAACGGCAGATGATTTGGCCTTTTCCTTGTTGTATTTTCCCAATAATGTGTGTACGGTTAATGTCCTCTTTGGTAAGTGGAGGAGACAGATGTAGTTTATCGTTATATATCTGGATTACCAGGTCACCCGTTTTATCTAGATCTCTCGCCTCCATCGGCACACCATGAAATCGTAAAGATGTTCTCCGGCCATACCGTTCTAATTCTTCTAATCCTGACTCCAGTGTTTCAAATTTAATGTTGAGAGACTTAATTTATGTACGCAGTTCCTTATTTTCTCCCTTTACTGCTGCCAATTCAGCCCTCTGCTGTGCATTGCCGCTTGATATCTCGGTCTTGAGTGAGGTTAATTCTTCAACAAGTGGTGTGACCACATCTTCTATTTACGTGGTAAGAGTTGGGGCTATAGCTGTTGCCAGGGTAGGACCAAAGTCAGGACTCTGAATGGCTGATGTAATAAGATGCTTAATGTCTATTTTGCTTAAATCACGTGCCGCCTTAGCTGCCATGGTATCATCTTCCATGGAGTTCCGTCGCCTGAGAGGAGGGGGTGCATTTACGTGATCAGATTTCGATAAATCTGATGGGCTCACGGTTTCCTCGATGGGTCTTTTAACAGCAACAGTAGGGGTTTTAAGTAGGCTTATCATGAGTGATATTAATCAGAGCACATGAGATTTTGGCTGGTTGTTTACAAATCGTACGCGTGCAGGTTGTTGGTCAATGTTCGTACTCACCCATGCGTAAAAAACATCGCTCAGATTTGGGGTCTGGCTGATAGAAAAAGTCCGATATATAGACAATAATACACACCAAGTGGATGAACTAGCAGCAACAAAACCTTACGTTGACATTATCATAGTACCATGTTAAGTTTAGAGTCCATTCCCAACTCCATACTCCAACAAATCCAACTTTGTTTTCCGTCGTCCTATAATCCACCCATTGATGTTGCCATTCGGAACACCTTTTTTGATTGTTTTAATATTGAGGGCGAACAAAGTTGAGCTAACATACACGAATATTAAAAAAATGCCTTAAAGGTCACCTAATGGAAATGAGGAATTATAAACGCTACATGGAAATTCAGTATTCGGATTAGGTGTTTTTCTAAAGAAAAAGAAATACTCTAAAGAAATGCTATTAAAATGAAACGAATGCAACAATACATATTCATATAAGATCAATATTATCTAAAAGAAATGTTATTGAAATAAAAACAATTTAGTGTAGCAATATTTAGCTTGAGATTATTTAAACCAATGTTTTATTGGTATAGCTGTTAGGTTAATACATATAATGTGTCTACAGTTGATCTGTATTGTTGTTTTAATATCCGTCCTGGTATGAGGAAACTATATCAAAATATATAATGCAGCGTGATAAACATTATGTTTATTTATTTCAAATGTGTAATAACATGTGTGTTTGTTATGTTATTCTTTAAAGAAATAAACGATAATATATTTCATTAAGTTGACCAAGCATTGCATTGAAGCGCAGAAACACTTAAAATAGGTCACTGGTCACATACAATGATAAAACGATAAAAGCTTGTCTGAACGTCGGTATAAATATGTCATTGTGGTTGGACGTGTATTTAAAAGGTTATTACTCGACAAAAGTACCTGGTAGCTATGAAAACTACAAATTCAGCAAATATAAATATGTATGCTAAGATGTCAACTGCAGCTTAAACCTGTAAACAAACAACAGTCATAAGTCTCCGCCATCTTACCTGTTTTTAACATATCTTTCCTCATATATATAGTATTAAAGTAAATAATGATAAACAGTGCGCGAGTGTAGGAGGTATATCAATACATACCTGTACTCGCTAGACTCCTAATCGTAGACTTGTGAATCATGCCCTATTATTCACATACCGCATCAAACGGGGTTCCCCATGGGGTAATCAGTAGTGTGTTTATAGACTTGTTAGAGTTCACTGACATTTTATCTCGCTTTTTCTATCTTTTCCTCCAGTTCTTACTTTTAAAGTCTCTTTTCACTCGGTTAGGTTTACGAAGAAAAGTATTTTGTTACGGTGTCCATTAAATGACCAGTAGCTAACAAAAAAACCGGACATAGATGTTGGCAATGCTACTCTGCTGTATAAGCAGACAATGCATACAAGCCTCAAGTACATCGTCAATGAACTACTTTATTTAACGCAAATATACTTTATAAGATGGCTAACTTTAAATATATTTATTATGATAATAATTATTTTAATGTTTTCTCTATTCAAATATTTGTATTGTTGAACGGCATTTCGACAGTTTGTGCCATTTAGGGCCAAACAACGATGTACAAAATAGACATGAAGAACTGAATGCCAAAAAACCCAGAAACAACATGTTGAAATGTGTAAAGAATGTCCAAATATATCAATAGCAAACGAATTGGTTGTAAAATATATCATAATATAAAGATTAATTGAATGTAAATACACGTTTCATAGAGGGTACATTATATCATCTGTCACGTATTTGTTTGAAATCAGCACATTTAATCATAAAATATTTTACTGAAAATGAATGATCATATGAATGACATTAAGGTTGGTCTTCCTAACGTTAAATGTAACTATGTGTGTCGTGGGTACGGCTTATGTGTAGTCGCGAGAGGACAACTTTCTGTTTTCTGTCGGCTTTATCCATTGGACATGAACCTACATTAGGTTGAACTAAAAATAACTAATTGTTTGTTTCTTCCGACAATTTACTTTGCCAAGTCGTTTTAATAAAATTCATTATTGAAGGTTTAAAATCAGAACAACGCAATTTAATTCCCTTCGAAAGGAACTTAAGTGCTGCATTTGCAGCCGTATCTACATTTTCATTTCCATTTATTCCGACATGACCCTGTATCCAAATCAAGATCAGGTGACGGATCATATTTTTTTTTCAATCTTTTCAATTACATCCAAAGCTAGACCAAGTGCAGTTGCTTCAACTGTGAAACTTATTTTTAGTAGTAAATGCGTAACGGCCAGTCAACACAGGATAGGTCATTAGGGCCAACATATGGTCTACAAAAACAAATACAATATTAAATCATCAACCAAACTTAAAGGTAAAAAGACAAACAAATATAGAAAAGGGCTATGGCGACTGACATTTTGTTAAAAAGACCAACAGCTTTCAGATAGCCGAAAATTTATAAGACAATTATTTTTGAAGAGATTTAAGACTTGTAACGTTATCATAGAAATGTTCTCGGGTTGACTGAAGATCGACACAATTTTTTTAAACATATTTTATTGTAACATATATACTATGGGATTTGGGCTTAAGTTTTACAACTTATATTAAGCGAGAGAGAGAGAGAGAAAGAGCTAGATTAGGATTAGCTGGTAAAGATGAAGAAGTGCAAGAAAATATACTCAAAATCTGTTAGTATCTAGAATAAATTGCTGCGTCTGTTTGGCTATTAGGGTGTTCTCTTGATATGACAATTCACTAATACCGTATAGTAGTAGCTGCAAGTTAAGTGGAATGAAATCATTTATTCGCGGTAGAGTTTAATTCTCTGATCTGCATAATTATTGCAAGTAAAAAAGGAGTCATACATTTGTATGTATCTTCGATAGGATGTCCACATTGACAGTGCTAAAAATCTATTAAATTAGCATGAAATAAGTGATTGTTAAAGGTACTAGAGTTATTTCTCAATCTGGTGTATAATATTACTTTTTCGATCATTTTGGTTTGGTTTGGTTTAATTTTGTTTAACGTCCTATTAACAGCTAAGGTCATTGAAGGACGGCCTCCCTTGTGTGCAAGATGCATGCGTGTAGTGTATGTGTGTGTATTTTGGGAGGCTGTGATATGTTTGTGTTTGTCTCCTTGTGATAGTGCGGAACTGATGGCGACTTTATAGTGCTACCTCACTGAAACATACTGCCGAATACACCCAGCAGGACGCCCCACCGGTCACATTATACTGACAACGGGCGAACCAGTCGTCCAACACCTAAATTGCTGAGCGTTAAGCAAGGGTAGAAACTACCATTTTTACAAACTCTGGTATGTCTCGGCCAGGGGGCAGAACCCAAAGCCTTCCTCACAGGGGCAAACGCTCAATATGACTTACTAAGTGTAAACGGATGAAGACAGTGAAAGAGAGTATCCATGAATACATATATATGTATTATCTAGAAAAAAGTGGCCAAAGACATTGAATTGAAATAAAAAAAATCACAAACATTTCTTTTTTATATACTTGTTAATGCATATATACACATTATGAAAACACTCGGAAAAGGTTATTCGTCTCGTTAATATTCGTTTTTACAAAAAAGTTTGTCCCTTGATTGAGGGAAGGTGTTTGTCTAGCCCCGCACTAATTTGTCACATTCCGGTATTATATATATCCTGGTGTCTATAAACATTGCTCAAATAGGTGATAAATGTAGAAGAAACATGTTTTATATTTGAATCATCACAAATGGATTAGGCACAAGTTATTTCAACTTATTATAGTCCTTACCAAACTACATAACACATTAATATATGCTTATATATTATGTCACAAATAATTCTAACACAAAAAATATGAGAACAGGAAAGAGAGTGCAGGAGATTAAAAATGATGTGGTATAGTAACGTTGAATAATCTTCAGCTATGTACTTAGAAGAATGAACACGTAGATAACAAATAATCCAAATTCGATGATTTATTAATAACAAAAAAACCTTAACATTCACAATCTGATTTGGTATTAACTATATCACAGTCTTTTTGTAGATACAATCACAGATACACATTGCCGTTATACATTTTGCAATATTCGGACCAGATTGCGGCTTGTTTACGTTGCAACAAATGTTTGCGTATAAATAATGTGCTTTATAAAGACGTCTGTGTTTGACGTTATTATTGGCTGCTCATGTGATTTTGTTGTTTTCTGCTTTGTTTACACATTTTAACAACTAAACTAAAATGGGTCGGTATAGAAGCATGTTGAGCTCTGAGGTAAAAGAACTAGCTTGGGAAATACGGGAAAAACTATACGTTATGTTTCAGAATGACTTGGTATACCGAATAAACAATCGGGAGTCTGGAAACACTAATTGAACAGCGATGTTCTTGAGAAAACATTCCACGTCGAAGTGGTCGGAAGTCAGCGGTGACAGCTCGGGACTTCATAAAGTTGAAGCGACTGGTTTGGTTTGGTTTAGTATTATTTAAGCTCCTATCTACAAATATGTTCTTTTTAGGACGGCCTCCCAATTGTGAAAGATGCATGAGTGCAGTGTATGCGTGCAGTGTATGCGTGCGTGTTTTAGGAGACTGCCATAAAATCGTGTTTGTCTCCTTGTGATAGCGCGGAACTGATGCCGACTTTATAGTCCCTGAAGGTTTTCTTAAGTACAGTAATGAGATCAAAGGTCAACTTAAAGTGGCAGTCCGGGACCAAACGTCAACATTGGTTAAAAGCTGTTACAATCTTCTTCGGGCCTGGTCATGGTGCCGAGAAAAAAGAAGACCGACAAAAGATAATTTCTGGAAAAAGTAATATTTTCGGATGAGTATAAAATAATTGTAGTACACTTTTCCCGTGCGTATGTTTTGCGGAAAAGGGGCGAAGGCTGGAGGCCTGAATCATTGGCGCCACGTCCATGCAAACCATGTTACGAAGTCATGTAATGGAGATGCATAAAATAACACGGAGTTGGCACCCGGATATTTTTGAAGACAATCTGGACAGACTTGTCGCTGCCCACCGTGCACGAGCTACCAAGGATTTTATTCAAAGATACGGAATAACGACAACAAGTTAGCCAGCCCAGATAATAATATAATCCAAAATATGTGGGTATTAGAAAAAAGTAAGCTAGAACAACGTGTTAGGATGATCGCTAGCCGAGATAGTCTTTTTCTTGAAATCGGGAACATCTGGGAAAAGATAAATCAAGACTATGTTTAATGCTGTACCGATCTATTCTTCGGAGATAATTGAGTGGCATTCGACTGAATGGACATCTCACAACGTACTTAGTAAGTTGTATTTAATTATTTTAATTTCTGAATTCGATTTATTATGTTTGGCAGTTGACCCACTTGCCGTAACGAAAGTAAACATGCCGCCATCTTGTCCGTAAAGGTATTTCATAATACTGTACACTTTATAAACTAGTGTAATTTTGTAGACTAACAACATTGGTCAGGTACGTGCATTCATGGAATTAAATACATGCACGTACCTGACCAAACAACACGTTCGAATCAAACAAATATTTATGTAATGTTTGGTTTTAGTTTAGCCAATATTTTCTATCTGGGAATGCGTTTAACCCTTATTGAGCCATTTCTTTTAATGATATGGCTGCTTTTCATATTTGGCAAATTACTATTGAAATGTACTTAGTCTTATATATATCTAATTTCTAAACTACGTTTTACTCAAGTATTAAACAGATTATCATTTTTGGCTACAATTTAGATACATATCATAGTGAAAAACATAACAGAAAGCATGTTGAAATTATGTCCAATTTGAAAAGCTGGGCTATGGTGTATAAATAGTGGATTATATATAGTTTTGTAAATTAACGATGTTAAATGATCTAACTGAAATACTACCGTTGTAAATAAGGCACTGACTCATCTTAATATTTCTGAACAATGAACATGTATGCGTAAGTTCCGATTTCACAAGCATTGTTAAGAATGAACTTGTACCTCGATTTTAACTTCCATCATCACCACTTCCGGGAACTACACCTCTTCCAAACGTCTGGTCGAGCTTTCTGATTAAGTTGATTGCTTTCGTTTTGATTGAACGCGGAACTGGAGTGCGCTTGTTCATGTAAAACTTGATTCTCCTGTAGTAGCCCTCACGCATGGCAAATTCGAAAGTTTTCTGCTCAAACTTTTGAATAGTGGAGTCAAGTTCTGCCTCCATCTGCTTCCAATATAAAGCTGTAAAATTCAGCAATACACAACGTGTTACGTTTAGGTTAGGTAACATGATCAGAAAAGGGCAACTTTTTTAAATTGGTCATAAACAACAGATATAAATAAAAGTACGATACAGTGCATACTGCATAAGTAAGTATAAAGATAATATGAAAGTGTATTTAAAACTGTAGTTCAGACATAAATTTGATGGAATTATTGCCTATAAGTGTAAATTAGAAACAAGGAAAAGGTTATACGGGGACACTTGATAAAGCACATAAATAATTAGACAAGGTGTTCCGGAAGGATAAGCGTATTCTCGTTTTCTGCGACATAACATCCCAACACCATAGCCGAACATATATATGATACGCATAAATATATCAATATAGTCATGGTGTAACAATTGACCGACGGGTCTGGCCCCACCCCTTGTAACTTCATCCCTGAGCCATAACTTTTAAAAGGTTGAGATCCTTAACAAGTAACCATGTATACCATTGCTTTTCTCAAGAAAGGAATTAAACCATGATAGTTTTTACCCTAGGGTCTAGTCCCACTCCTAGGGACTTTACTACTCTGCCATAACTTTGCAGCGGTTTAGATACCCACCCCGTTACCATGTATACGTTTGATAAACATACAGACATAAACACAGCCATATTAAATAATTAACCCTGGGGTATGGTGTCACTCCTCACATGGAAGTGATCAAAATTGATTTGCTGCTACAATTACCAGTTTTCCCAAACAAACAACAAATCCAATCCTAGGGACTTACTTCTAGGGCCATATCTTTGGTTGAGATGCCTACCTCATAACATAATACACCATTACTAGGCATCAATAGACTAGCACAATCATAATATCATTAATATTGACTCTTGTGTATAGCCCCAACCTTGCCTTAAGGCCTTTATTTCTGGGTCCTAACTTTTGAAATGTGCAAAATATTTAGGTTAATGTTCCACATGTGTGCTGGAAACGTTTGCCACGGAACTAAAACAATGATATTGTAACCCGGAAGTAAATCACCATTAACAGTTAAGGTCATTTAAGGTGATCGGAGGCGTGAGACGAACACATTCTTAAAATTATTGAGAAAGCTGTGGATTTATTCAAAAGGAGTGTTTGCAACAATCGTGTTTTGAATAGTACAGCTAAGGTATCGTTTTTTATATTGGAATGTTACAGGGCTGCTGATTTATACTTACATATCACGACCTTATTGAAGCGCGGGTCCTCTTCTCCTGACGGAGATGGTCTAAGCCAAAACATGACATCTTTCTCATGCCGGGACAGATGCGTCGCTGGAGATGTGACGCTGTATTTCTTAGCGATGTGGTCCAGTGTTATTTGGACAACACGATCTTGTAACTCTTTCGTTCTGTCTCGAATAACCGGGTCCTTACAGTTGTATGCGGTCCTAAGAGAGCTGTCGCACTGTCCGTTCATTATATAAAACAAACCGTTCTCGGAAGCCATGCTCTCCTCTACGCTATCGAGATCTTGTTCAATAGACTCTTTTTTGAGTCGTTTTACAAGGGGAGGGAACTTTTCAACATCGTTCATGCGAAGTCTCTGAATAGCCATTTTTACATCTTCATCTTCTATGTCTTTAAATTTGAAATCAGGTGAATATTTTGAGTCGATCGCGTTCACAATACGACCTACTTTTTCGTCAACCCTTGTCTTTCTCTGCACTTTCATCGTCTCATCGATAAGGAAAAGAATGTCTTCTTCCACGCGCTTGTTGAATGTATCTACTAAACCGCGCTCTTCTATGTGTCTGAAGTAATGAGAACAGTTATTTTTGGTACAATGGAAATTTACATCAGAAATGTACGCAAAAAAGTATATACGTGATCACTGCTTGTATCCACTTAGAACTGATTGAGTTTCATCGTATCGATTAATTATGTAACGGTAATGTTTAAGTTGGCCATTATCTTATTGAATTTTGAGGGTTTAATGTGTCTAAAGTTATCTAAGAACGTGCCTCAATACATGCAATAAAAGTGCATGTTTGTATTTTTTCTAAAATAATGTTATAAAATTTGTATTTTTGATCGAAGTACAAATTACCTTTTCATTGTGTAGTACACTTCTGGTACAATGGCTGTGACGTCATCAGCCGCATAATCAACCATTTCATCAAATAGTGGACGTCTTGCCCAGTAATCGCCAATCTCTCTTAGGCACAAATCCTTTGCGAACAAGAAACAATATGCACTTTATTTTACAACATTTGATTATAGTTGGCCCCCTGCATACTCGGGAGTTTAACTCCGTGTCTTTCACGAAGTGGACAGGGGAAAAAACAAAACAGGTCTGCTGCTCCCTTAACAACACTAGAGATCTTTTTCGTTTAAAACTTTCCATACTTTTTAAAATTTTATTTTCTGTTTCATGCCATGTCTCTTTAGGCAACGGTCCTCAAATGACACCGATTCATTAGAATATGGCGCCAACGAATACGATTCCGAATTCCGCACTTTAATGATTCAGTCATATTTCGCTGTATCATTGTTGTTGTTTTATTTTGAAATGTTATTAACATAAATACAATAATATGAGCATTCTTCCTTAAGTTCCTTTATAAACGTTATCATCAGAAGTTATGTTTATAGGGTTATGAATGCATTGTTAATCAGCGTCTTTTTGAAGCTTTTCCAGGCCCAAATAACATAATACAATCGATGGAAGCAAAATATTTTGGGACGTTAGGCTGATTCAGGAATCTCGTTTGCACTGACGACACAGAAACTTAAATATCGAAAATATAATTGAACATCTATTTTTAGGTAGATATTAACTAGAAAATGCATAACGAATATAAACCAATTCAACAGAATTTAGTAATGTTGATGCCGGTATGAACAATAAACAATGCCGTTCAATCGTTACATATTTCTCTCATGGTGGAATAAACCAATATTTTCGCTTTTGCTCTGAACTCGATAAAAAAATCGGTATCCTACTTAACTCGTGAAATATGTATGATGCTCAACAGAAAACCAATTAATTGTCTCCAAATATTCTGTGATATATTATATCACTTTACTTTTTACATGAAATACAAAAGTTAAAACCTCTACATGTTCGGAGAAGGGACCCCTGCACAATCGGAAGATTTCTTCTATCTGCTACTAAGGGGTCATTTGTTTGGTTTGTTTTAATTTTATTTAACGTCATATTAACAGCTTAGGCTTAGAAAATTAGAATAATAAGAATAAGTAAGAAACGGAACAATAACAACAATTCACCCGACTTCGTTCGAGTTGAATAAATAATAATAATAAGAAAAACTGAGCAAAAACAATAAGTCCCCCCACTTAGTTTGGGGGACTTAATTAATCCATCAACACAGCTAGTTGTTAGTGGATCAAGCATCATCATTCTCGGTTCCTTACCTTTATTGCATCGTTTTGATCTTCGACTTTGGCAACCGACGAATACTTCTTACATATCTCCTCGAGGTTCAGCAAAGAAGCAAGTTCTCTTCCCTCGCTCTCCTGTATCACCAGGTTTGCTACCTGTGGTGTAGAGGTATATTTTAGTAAAACACACGCACATCTGTATACATAAGATTTTGCATGAGTTAGCATATACTTTTTCATTTAAAGACGTTCAAATGAAATGGACAAACAAATATTGGGTGTTGCATCATATGACCACGATTCTGTACGAATAATACGAAAAACTAGAAATATGTCAAAATGACATGAAAGTCACCCCATCATTCTGTATGATCTTTATCAGATAAATCATTGACCAACTAAGACTGATATAATTCCAACTGTCAATCAAAATGCTAAACAATGACCAAGTGTAAATACATACACGCTGTTCAGGTAGCCATGCCAACGCATTGAATTAATAAGAACCATGTGCCAAATATAACCTTAGCGTTGACCGACACCTCGAATACGGGGAAATCTGCGCGCTGACACGGTCACCTGGCATGGGCAGAACATGTAGTTGGGATTTAATGTTGTTGTTTTTACAACAACGAGTTTCAAAAAGGATTCAATCTTATATACGGATAAATCGTTTACTTTTTTTGTTATAAAATTCACTTTTCAGAGTAGTTTTCGACTGAATCGGACATCGATATCGGACTGTATTTGGCTGTTTCGAGCCCGTTAATATTTATTTTTTAAACTCTAACTTTTATCATTATCGGTTCAATTCGCAAGGATTGTCACCTTGTAAATATCTGTCGGTTGATAGTCTCACGCGACCTTGACTCTTAGCGGTACACAAACTTGCTAACTTTACCCATGTCTATTTGACACATTTCTACTGTCAAAATTGATTAGTTCAGCAAGATTTTACCCTAGAACCACATTTTAACCCCAGCGTGCTAAATACGATGCAAATCTTCGTTATGTTTCCCCAAACGTGGTATTTATCAATTCACAACGAAACGTCCTGAAAATTTGGGCCAGGTTTACTCGAGTTTATTTATTCGATTCTATCGTATAATATGACTTGAGCTTGCAACTTTTCGTAATTGTCAAATTGGCAATGCAAGCAGGGTTTATTAAACGAAATCTAGCAGTTTATTGCTGCGAGCATATTTCAAAACATTTCCGAAAATCCTCGAAACATTTACAATAAATGGTGGCGACCAAGGACTGGTTTTGGATTGTTCTTGAGTATCGTGTACACCCCTTTCTTGACACTTCATTTTTTCTTAAAAAATGTGCGCACTAAACGCAAATATTAACGGTAGTCGTTGGTCAGACATAAAATATCTAAATCAATAGCAATTTATAATATTACATTTTACCCCTTCGTGAACTTCAAAGGTGCCTGATTTATACTTTAGGTTATATGCAATTCCCATGTGAAATTTGGAACGCCTTTAGGTTTTATGTTATTCCTGTTTGAAAAGGAAATAGATATCGGAGTTATCCAATAGCTTGTAATAAGCGCCTGGTATATTCCGACAGAAGCAAACACACGAAATCACATAACAGCGAAAGGCAACAGATGTCAAAATCTAGGACTGAAACCGAGATTAATAGTCCCCACTGGGGTTCCACTAGATGCGACTAAAACACCTTTTATACGTTATACCTTTTATAACAAGAGTTATACTATCTCACCCCAGATAATTCTACCTTTTATCATGAAACATAGATGTTTGGTTTGGTTAAGTATTGTTTAATGTCCTATCAACAGCTATGGTCATTTAAGGACGGCCTCCCCTGTGTGCGAGATGCATGCGTGAAGTGTATGCGTGTGTGTTTTGGGAGGCTGCGATATGCTCGTGTTTGCCCCTTTGTTATAGCGCAGAACTGACGCCAACTTAATAGTGCTACCTCACTGTACAACCAACTAGGGTTCATATAATCATAAATGTAAGAATATGAATTTGATTCACTAAACAACAAAATAACTTTGAAAGCAAATAAACACGATGTGAAATCATATGGCATTTTCTGAACTTACATTATTATATTTACCAAAATATCAAGCGCTGGTTGGAATAACGACACACATATTAGTTCAGAAAACATATTCATAATCTACGATGATAACTATTTCTTCATTTTCACTTTACAAAAAAGTAGGGATATTTTGTTAAATTGTAATTGTGTTTATTCGTATAAGAACATGTATGTTACCTGTGTGTCAAAAACGTTCCGGAGTCGGATGTTAAACTGATGGTACAGGGCAGCACTGTGATCAGAACAGGAATGGATCACCTGCAAACAGGAATACATGGTAAAATTGCTTAATCTAGTCGAATCAGTGGTTACTTTAACGTTAACTTATGTTTTTCTTTCATAATTATATGCTTCCGATAAGATTGTCAAATAAGGGGTCATTGGTTTGGTTTGGATTAAATTGTTTAATGTCATATTAACAGCTAAGGTCATTTAAGGACGTACCTCCATGTGTGAAGTGTATGCGTGCTTGTGTGTGTATGCAGGATACAGGGTATGTTGGTGTTCTTTTCTCCTTGCCGACTTTAAAGTGCTACCTCATGTTAAACAGGGAATAACAACTGCCATTTTTAAGAACTTTGGTATGTCCATGCCTTGCGATAGAACCGATTGCCTCCCTCGTCTTAGCGAACGCTCAACATTAAAGAAGCGAGATATTGCCAAACGAGGCGGTAGGAAATAAAATGTAACACGTACTTATTGTAATGGGGACCATTACAGAAGTCCCCTAAAACGAACCCTTTACTACGAAATGATTTGAAACCAGAAATGGACGTTATGGTTGTATTTGTGTTGTAATAAGGTACATAAACACCAATTTTCAAGAAAACCGGACGATATTTAAATTTTGAACTATTTGTTGCCTCCCCTTTGCGTCCATTTTGTTTTAAGATTCAGAAATCAAGTATGCACACTGCCTCTGATACGTGAACACACAATGAAAATGGCGGAAACCTCACTGGCGGAAGAAAGGTGAAGAAATAAGAATAATGACTAGAATTGCAATTGCGAGAAATAGCAGAAGTCACCCGCCCCCTCTCCCCCCTGTTAATTATACAGCCATTTTTTTTTATTTTTTTTTTCAAAGCACAGACAACGGAGTTGTGTTCGAAGTGCCATACTACATCTACATACCAAATTTCATCACAATTGGATGATATTTAAATTTCGACCAATGAGAGGCCAGGAAATGGCAGATATAAAGTCGAAATATGAAACACACGCTACGAAAGTGACCGGTGTACCATGATATACCTATATATTAAATATCATGAAAATCTGACAATATCGAAAATTGGACCAATCAGAGACCAGGAAATGACAGCCATTTTGTTTTTTACAAAAAGAACACCGCAGTTGTGTTCGTAGTGCCATACTTTACCTACATACCAAATTTCATCAAAATTGGACGATATTTTTATTACGACCAATCAGAAGCCTGCATTTAGCCGCGATTTTGAATCCAAAGTGATTTTTTTTGTTGAAAACGATCGGTGTTATGTTATCATCCCTTCAACAAATTTCATTATGTTGCGTCTAATAGAACGAATGCTATTACTGGATATGATTTCGGCCAATCAGAGGCAGCGGCGACCATCTTGGATGGTTGACCTGGGGAAGAAAAGGATGTGCACAACTACACATCGTACTGATTATGTATGCAAAGCATGATAAGATTACCTTTAGTAGTTCCTGATATAAGCCGGAGAAACTTTTTACAGCGGAATAATAACAATAATAATGATAATAACAAGAAGAAAAAGTAAGAAACGTAACAATAACAATAAATCACCCGACTTCGTTCGGGGTGACTTAATAAAACAGGAATTGCAAAAGCGAGCAATAGCGGAAGTCCCTCCTCACCCCACCTCCTTCCCATGTTAATAACAAAGCCGTTTTGCCAACACTAACACCACAGTTGTGTTCGTAGAGCCATACTACACCTACATACCAAATGTCATCAAAATTGGACGATATTTAAATTTCGACCAATCAGAAGCCTGCATTTGCCGCCATTTTGAATCCAAAGGTAAAAAAAATGTCGGAAACGAGCGCTTTCACCGAGTTTCATTAAGTTCCATCACCGAGAACAGATGTTATTAATAGATATGATTTCGGCCAATCAGAGGCAGTGGCGGCCATCTTGGATGATTGACCCGGAAAAAAAAGTTAGATGCACAACAAGACATTGTACTGACTATGTATGCAAAGTGTGACAAGGATCCCATAAGTAGTTTCTGAGATTAAGTGCGGAAACGATACGGCAGAGGACTAATAATAATTACAATAAGTTTATATAATAATCCTAATTATTTTGTAAATGACCCTAGCGACTAAACAACGACTGTTCTGAGAACATCTTGACTAAATTAGATGAACAGACCACATGGGCTTTGTGAACAATGCTTACTTGCCGAAATAAACGCAATTTAAATTCCAATTTAATCCGCCTTGCTACTTCCAGTCGCCATTTTGTAAACAGGACCTAATCTCGAGCTGATGCGCGTTTGAAAGAGTTTAAAGTATTGCAAAGCTTCTAAACGATCGTGCCCAGAAATACTCTCTAAGGATGATATTTTTGATAAATTTACTATCAGTTATTTACTATATTTCTTTCCTGTATCACTTTCATTAATTCATAAAAGAACAAATTTATTTTTTCCCCTTCAATCTTTTTTTCTTTCAAATGTTAAAACACATTTTTTTGGAAAAAATGTTCTAGTTTCCAGATTATGATCAAACGTCGTCTGCTTCGCAAACATTTAAGAAAATAATATTTACAATGTATTGATATTTGTTTTATTAACTAGTTTATTCTTTAAACTATCTTTTATTAATAATATCAAAAAGATTTTGCATTTTATGACGTAACCGGAAGCGCACTTGATACGAGAACGTGACCCGGAAATAGCTCACAACATAATCAGGACAGTAATAATTAACAGACGTTTATCGAACATTAACAGATTAATACCGTATGTATTGAGACACTGATGTGCTAGAATTCAACACAAGGTAACACTCGTTTAATCCATTGCTATCACATCAAGTACTAACTGACATTTATGCGGAAATATCAGCATTAAATGTTTGCGATCGCGCAGACCTACTTTCGTTTTACAGTTTACATACATTTG